GTGCTATGTGAGTTTGTGAGTGAATGAGTGTGTGTGTGAGTATCGTGTGAATGAATATGTGTGTGAGTGTTGTGTGAGTGAACATGTGTGTTGTGCGAGTGTTGCATGAGTGAGTTTGCGTAAGTGTGTGAATGCGTGCTGTGTATGTGTGTGTTGTGTGTTAGTGTTGTGAGTGTGTATGTTGTGTGGTTCACTGTGTGCATGTGTGTGTGTGTGTGTGTGTGTGTGTGTGTGTTGCTAGAAGGAATCATGACAGTGACCAGGTTGCCTGAGTCACCTTTCCACCTTGACCACAGATTACTGGGGAGAGCAGGAGGCAGGGCGAGGCATCTGCAATTAGAAGAACCCAGGTGTTCGTGTGAGAGAGAAACAGAAAAAAAAAAAGCCTTCAGTCCCAGACAGGGAAAGAAATGCACAAATCAGATGCTCATATTCAGGTAGAAGCTGCAGGAATTTGATATCGCAGGCAGTTTGCAAAATCATTTCTTTATTTTAGATAAACATTTGCTCAGACTCTACTGCTCACAGACCGTAGGTTCTTCTGAATCCCTCTCACTGGAGGGCCAATACCAGGTTTTTCAAACATTAATGAGTACTTTCTAGATCTCTTGCTTCTCTCAAATGTATTCATCTCAAGTGTATCCCTCTTTTCCCTTGTCCTGAAATTTTGTAAAATTCCCCAGGAGAAGGAATGGCTTTTACTCGACACATAATTCTTTAGATTCCTCCTCCACGTGGGCTTGGGTTTTCACCTTGGCACTCATCACTGGGTAACATAGTATGTTTCTAGCATTCATCTCATTTACTCTCTGGCTCCTCTACCACCATGTATGCTCCATGAGGGCAGATAATTATCCCCCACAGTGTTTCACTGGTATATCTCTAGGGCCTTAAATACTGCCTGACACAGAATAGATGATTTAGAAATATTTGTTCAGTGAATGAGTGCATTTCATGAAAATCTAATGTGCTCTAGATATTCTGCTAAGGGCTACAGAGAAGAAAATAAATGAGATCTAGATACTTTCTTCAATTCCCTGGTGGGTGGTAGGATCAGACCTGCATGCAAATTATGAGAGTCCAGGTGATAAAGGGCCCGCAGAGGTCTATGAGGTCTATGGAGAGTGATGTGGGAAGGGGAGGGGTGTGCTTTGCATTGAGCCAAGTAGAGAGGAACTTAGGGAAGATGTCACAGTAAGCTGGTACTTTCAGGACAAGTTGAGCTTTCCTGGCAAACAGCACTTGCAGGTGCAGGAGTGAAGGAAGGGGCAGTCCAGGTAAGGGCATGGGTGTGTGAAGGTGCAGATGTGGAAACAGCATGGCATCAGCAAGAAGCTGAGCAATCTAGTGTGCAGGATGTTTAGTGTATAGACCAAAAAGGAGAAGAGATGAGACAAGAATATCAGGGGTGTGTGCCAGCTAGGGATTGGGAATTTTGTCTCATAGGAGCATTGGAAGATTTGTTCTTAATATTTCAAGCCTATTAGTAACATGATCAAATTGGCAATTGTGGTAGAATAAAGGAGAGATGGGAAGGGAAGAGACTAGAGGCTGAAATGAGTTCGGAAAGCCCTGCAATTGGCTTGGAAGGGCAGGGAGGGGAGAAGTGGGCATGAAGTCAACACTGAAAAAGCAGAAGTGACTGATCCAGTGACTAAAAAAGGCAACGGAGAGAAGCCAGTGGGGGTCAGGAGGAATCGGCACCTCCAGCTTGGGCAACTGGGTTAACAGTGGCACCATCCATTCACATTCAGAATAGACAAAAATGGGAGGTGTAACAGGATGTAATTCCAAGGAAATGTGAACCATGTGGGCCTTTAAGAAGTAGTTCCTGTCCTTGGAGTCTGCAGAAGCTTTGGGATTGTCATCATCCTCAAAATGAACCAGCAAGAATATCATTTTCTGCCTCAGTCATCCTTTCCTGCCTCTCAGTCCACCTTCCTCTGTGCACACCAAACTGCTCCTTCTGTGCTGCCTTTTCAAGCTGTGCTTGTTTTCCTGCAGATCATATGTACCCTTACTATAAAGCTTGCTTTATCTCCACATTTTGTTGCCTCAAAACTGAACACAAGCCTAGCCAAGGCACCAAGGAGATACCGCTAGTTGTCTATTGACTTGAACTGCACAGAGTAAAAGACTCAAAGGAGAGAAAGCCTTTTTGTAGTTTTTGTATATTTTTAGAACTTTCTTAGCTTGATAGCTGTTGGGAAGTTTAGAAACACCAAACAAAAAACAAACAAAAAACCCAGAAATAAATAAAAGCAGGGCTTCTTCTGCTTGGGAGAGACCTTGCCTCTCTCTTTTTTTGGCATACTTAGCTGTCATTATTAGAACCCTGCTTTTCAGGAAAATGGTAGTACCCAGAGGTTTAAAAATTATTGGGAAGGTGGGGAGATGAGATGAGGTGGGGAGATCACTCTTCTGTGTCAGACAGGGGCTCTGGGAAAGCACAAGTAACAATGAGACCTTGAGATCAGGGGACAGGGTTGGGCAGCTTCTTTGAAGAGTGGGCAGGCAAGCTCAGCCCTGGCAACACCTGGGCACATGACTCTTTCCTAAGTCATAGGAGGCTCCCACTGAGAGAGAGACTGTCTTCTCAGATGGTCCATTACTGCAGGATTACAACTGTAAGAATTAGCCAGACCCCTTATGAGAGGGACCAGATTGAAGACAATATGCTGCTTAGTTTCCCTAGTTCTCTTCCGTTGCAAACAAGGCTCTAAAAATGCTCTGCAGAACTAAGTCATGAATCATGCAGGAGAGGGCAGGAAAGTCCAGGATGAAGGAGAAGCTGCTGTCAATTAGTACATGAGAAGTTGCTACCAAAGGAAAAAACACCACAGAATGGGGACTCAATAAAAGGTCCTGTAGCAGGAGCATGGATGTGTACAGAGAGATGAGGGAAAGAAGTCTAAGGACTGAAAACATTAGGGAAGGAGCAATAAAGGTTGCCAGAACATTGTCCTGTGAATTGTGAAGTAGTCCTAACAAAGGTCCGGGAACATGGTGGATTCACATACCTGGGTGGGCACATGGAGAGTTATTTGCAGACATAGATCGAGCTAGTCTCCAGCGTCACCACCCCCCGCCACCTTCCCTTCTGGCACTGAGGTCATTGGCATCCCAGAGATAAGCAGTGGTCTTAGTCTTCTGACTTGGTGTCACAAAGGCAAAACTCTAGAGGCCTCATGCAGGCTATGTAAGTGAGTGAACCCAACTAGGTACAGGAAAAATCATCCACCTGAATCTCACTACTGATAGAAACATGGATACAGACAAATATGTCTTGACCGTCGGGGAATCTGCAGGGTGAGGGAATGATAAAAGGCACTGACAATCAACCATAGTGTCAGAAGACAATGGGGCGTGGTGGGCGAGGTGGTAAACAAGGCTGTTCGTGCCAGGGTAATCGTAGGATCACTCTCCTACAACACATCATCAGCATTGGAGGCTGCATGTCCAGTGCCTGTTACATCTGATTTTCGACAGAAGCTGCACTAATTTTTATATGATGGCTGCCAACTTACAAACATTCAGATTTTTAAATGATACAATTGATATACTTAGGCACGTTGCATTCAGCCTGCAAACAGTCAACATAAAATCCCTGCTCTGGTCCAATCTTCACATTTCGTATATGGGGAAACAGGCCCATAGAGAGATCTTGCCCTCTGTTACATTGTGAATTGGGGCAAGACCTAGAGCCCTGATCTCCCCAAACCCAGGCCTCCTGCATCTCCTACTGTTCCAGGTTGTTTCTCTGGGTTCCTCAGCCTTACTTCCCACTCTCAGAATCTGTTTTGGCCTCGTATGCTGCCCCCTGGCCGTCAATAACATCACTGTGTTACCCCACTCAGCATTTTGTACACCACACATGTTTTTCACCTGCCCCCCAAAAATCAACAAAAAACTTATTTAATCTTTCAGGACCTGTAGTGGGTTGAGTTATTCACGTTCCCATAAACATGTTCACATCCTAATCGCAGGACCTGTGAACACTATTTTTTTTTTTTTTTAAGTCATTGCAGATGTAAGTAAGTTAAAGATGTCGAGATGTGGACATCATTCTGATTTAAATGAGTGGGTCCTAAATGAGTGGTGTCCTTACAAGAGGAAGGCAGAGGAAGGGCACACAGACAGAAGAGGAGGAAGTAATGTGACCCTGGACACAGAGATTGCAGTGATGTGAGCATAAGTCAAGCAAGTCAGCAGCCACCAAAGGTGGAAGAGGAAAATAATGGATTTTCCCTTAGGGCCTCCAGAGGAGGCACAAACCTGCCAACATGTTGATTTCGACTTCTGGCCTCCAAAGCTGTGTAAGAACTAACTGTGGAGTTTTAAGCCACCAGGTTTGTTGTGATTTGTTACAGAAGCCACAGGAAACTAATACAGAACCCTTTCTTCTGCTAAGGGATAGAAATTTCCTGTGAGAGTAGTAACAGTGGTAACTACCAGGCATTTAATCTATACCAGGTCCTTATGTTTTCTACAATCCTCATACCATTTGTTAAAAATAAATGTTATCTCCATCCTTACCCCTCTGCCCACCTGTTACAAAAACAGGGAAACAGATACCTAGAAGCCACATAGCTCGTAAGCAGTATAGTCAAGATTTGAACCCTGGATTCTTTATTCTCGTTACATTACCCATAGGGAACTCCCTCAAGTAGGCTTATATAACATAACAGTGAACTTGCAAAGCTCCAAGAGTGGCTGTTGTGGTAGAAGTTTCCATTCTAACAGGTCAATGTAGACATTTTTGTTTGACAATGATTGTATTTCTAAAATGTAATATGTTAAACTAAATTATGCCAATTAATATTAACAGAAAGAGACAGTTATGCTTGGTGCACAGCTCTGTGTCTGGGGTTTGTGGTTGAGGCAGTGCTCTGCTAATGCACATGACTTTCAGGTGCAGGCCTTGCTGGGCTGTGTCCTAAGGTGAATCAACGTGAAAAAAAGCCCTGACTGCTCATGCACTGATATCTTTATTTTTTCAGATGTCTGGGAACCACCACCATCACGTCTGGAAAAAAGTGACTTCACACTACAGCGGAGGAAAACCATGGGTTGGCCAAAAACGGAACAGAATTTATAAGGGAAAAGGAAGGTTCTGGAGTAATATGGTAAGTAGTTTCTAACCCAGAAAAATAAGACTTAAGCATGGATTTTAAATGTTAAGCTTGAGTAGGTAGATAATTAAAGTTAATCTCTTTAAGCCTCAATGTGCAAATCTGTAAAATGTAAGAACAGAAATAATGTGTACATATTATATGGAACAGTTTCGGGCACATACCTGGTTCTCAGTGAATAGTGCATATTAAATTATTGATGCTGTTGCTATTGTCTTGGGCTTATTCTCTGCCTTATTACACAAAATTTTGACTAAAATATTCTGTAAGAGAATATCACCAAAACCATCCCATCACCGATTTAATTTTTCTTTTTATAGTTGTATAAAGAATTGCAGTCCCACACCAGAAATAAGCACCCTTTCAAGTTATCCTTTAAAATAACTTGTTGCAAGCATATATAAATTCACTCCACGTATAATATTTTTTCAATTGACTTAGAGTCTGTGAAATGAGACTTGTTAGAGGGAAAAAAAAATCTATAAAGGCTGCACTCATTCATCCACCAGATATTTATGGAGGAACATCTCCAGAATCAATGCAAAGTGCATAATTGCCTTAAGAGCTATGGGTAAAATGCCATGGGATTATAAATGGAAAAACAGAGAAGTTGGTTAATTAAAAAAATTAAGTGTGAATTCAGAAGGGAGAGAATCACCTCAATACGTGAGGTTGGGGAGGGAACAAGACAAATAACAGCCGGAAAAGCACAACACACGGGGAGGCTGTGTGAAGGCAGCTGACTTCTGGTTGGATCCTATAGGAGAGGTCATGTTTCAGTGTGCTGAACAAGAGCTTTCTAATCAAAACAGATAGAGACAACAAAATTCTAGATGTCTGGGGGAAGCAGCAAAGGAGTCTGCTTAATGGGGTAAAGGGTAAATAAAAGTGAGTGTGTGATTTGATATTGGAAAGGTAAGTAGGAGAGGCTTCAAATATAACCTGAGCGTTGTGACCCTTAGTTGTTAGATTATGGGTGTCCTTAACAACCTTAGTCAATGAGAGATGTGATCAGAAATGGGCATTTTGCAATTTAAGTGTGTAGTCTATATTGGTGGGAATGGAGGCAGAGAGGATGGCTAGGGGACCATTTTAACAACCCAGGTGTGAAGAGGATGAACATTTAAGTTGGGCCAATAAGAAGGGAGTGAAAGAAAGGGTGTTAGCTGAGAGACCACCAAATGATTAGATGTGCCAGGCCAAGGGGGAGAAAGTCAAGGATGACTCAAAAGTTTTAAGTCTAAATGTCTGAGAAAATCTTCCCATGGTAACCTGAAAAAAGAACATAGAACAAAGGCAAACTTTTCGGGAATAACTGATATGCTTAGTTTGGGATGCGTGAAGATGCTCATCATGGAAATAAAAAAAAAAGTTGAATGTAGAGAAAGTTTGGCCCTGAAGATTGAGAAGGATAAAGCTCTACATAAGATAATAGTAAATAGCCTTGAGTAAGCTTGAGATTACTAAGGAAGAACATAAAGTAAAAGAAAAGAAGGAGACATAGACAGATTCTTGAGGGCAGCATCTAATTTCATGTGGGTAGAAGTAAAATGTCATGCTGAGAAAGGAAGAACATAAAATCATTCCAAGGGCTATGTATTAGTCAAGGTTCTCCAGTGAAACAGAACCAATAGAAAAAGAAAGAAAATGAAAGAGAGAGAGAAAGAAAGAAAGACAAAAAAGAAAGGAGGAGAGAGAAGAAGGGAGGGAGGGAGAGAAAGATAAAGGAGAAAGGGGGAAAAGGAGGAAGGAAGACAGGAAGAAAGGGAAGAAAAGAAAGGAGAAAAGGAAGAGGAGAAGGAAGGAAGGGAAGGAGGAAGGAAAAGATAAGAAAGGGGGGAAGGAAGGAAGTTAGTTAGTTATTAGGGGAAATAACATACAGGATTATGAGGCCGAGAAGTCTCACACAGCCCATCTGCAAGCTGGAGACCCAGTGAAGCCACTAGGATGGCTCAGTCCAAGTCCAAAGGCCTGAGAACCAGGAGAGAAGACAGTGTAACTTCAGTCTGAGGCTGAAAGCATGAGAACTGGGTGCACTGCTCACATAAATTGCAGAGTCCAAAGACCATAGAACCTGGAGTTCTGGTGTCCAAAGACAGGAGAAGAAGGGTGTCTTAGTTCCAGAAGCTAAAGAGATCATTCATCTTCCTCTCCCTTTCTGTTCTATCTGGGTCCTCAGCTCATTGGATGGTACCTACCAAGCTGGGTAAGAGTGGATCTTTCTTACTCAGTTCATTGATTCAAATGCCAGTCTCTTCCAGAAACACCCTCACAGACAAACTCAGAAATAATGCTTTAACAGCATTTATGATGTTTCAGATACAAGATATGACTTGCTGTTAATTAGTTGCTCCTAGATGGCAACTTCCAGCCTATAGCAAATCTATATGCTCAGTGTTGTTGTCTTAATAAAACACATTAACAGAGTAACATTAACATGGCTGCCAGAAGATGCAATGCCTTGATGAAGTCCTCAGAAGATTTTATGGAGGAAGCAATCAGATAAAGAGAAGTAGTGCCTTTGCCCTTTAAAAAATTTCAGTGGAATGTTTACATTAATTTCATGTTTAAAAATTATTAAAAATGGAACTACATGCACAAAATATAATCTCATTTATGAAAATGACTGCCTAAAATCCTATTTCAGAAGCATTTTTCAATACATGGAAGTTGTTTGTGAGCATCTGAGTCACATTAGGATATTCTTGTTAAAATTACCATAGTCTGTAGAGAAAATTAACTTTCTGAAATATTACATAGGTACAAAAATTACAGGCTTTTTTAAAGTGAACATTCAATTTTCTAAAATATATTGTTGGGTTTTCCTAAAACTGTATTGTATATTTAAATAAAATGTGCATTATACATATAATATATATAAATTTAAACTACACATTTTATTTAAGACATGGTATAATAATTGTATATTACATATCTGACATATCAATTTCCTTACATATGCATCTTTCTCTCTGGCTATTTGAAATGAAAACGTTCAATAGTGTTTTATTAACATGTCTCTAAAAAGAGAGAGGCAGAGGCAACTGTCTTCCCTGACAATCAGCTACCCTCACAGTATCTTTTCATCATGAAATTGCATTTAGGAAAAGAAGAAGCCATTGGGGTAGGTGAGTGAATGTTACAAGAAACGAAGTGAGGCAAAATAAAGTAAGAACCCAATTATCATTTTGAGGAGCAAGTATAAGGCCAGCTTCAATTTTTGTTAATAATCAAGTATTATTTAAACCTCATTCATTATTCTGGATAATAGATGTGGCTTGGAATTCTCCCTTTCCTTATGCCTCACCAAAGAATCGAAAATATATGTCAGCTTCCTCAAACCACAGTGGGGTTGGCAAAGAGGCAGTAATCCTGCAGAAGGACCCCAAGAGAGTCAGGTTGACAGTCAGTCATTGTGCCATCTGCATTTGAATGGTCCTCTCTGCAGACTTCCATATTGTAGAACTATTAACAGTCAACAGCCTATGTATAAGGTACTTACTGTGCCTTTAAAACTTTTTAAACTACTAAGAACCACTTACACATTTGGGAAGAATTCCATTTGCAGAGACCAAGCTATTACATTAGCTGAGTGAACAATGCATTTTAAGGATTAGATGTTAATGAGACCAGGTAAAATTTGGTCATTTGAGCAGCTGACCAGGCTTGTGAATGCTGGGACTCTGTACAAAAGGAAATTCCTAATTGGGTCATTGATTTGCATAATTAATTACCTTGGTCCTCTGCTTCACTCTAGTCTAGAAAACTCACCAGACCAGGGAGGAGTGTCTGTTTGTCAATCAGAATGATGACTCACCTTCACCCTTCCTGTGCCCTGGCAGCACTCCCTGGTTATCTGGCTACCTACATGGTAGTAAGAGTGTGCCCGGTATGTTTGATCATTGAGGACTTTTCTCTTAGGTTCAGTTGAGGGAAAGATAGCATCAGACTCATTATTTTTCACAGTCTGGATTTCTTGAATTTAGCTCAGAGAGAGTATGATGAGAAGGCCAAGAAAGTGGATGAGGCAGAAGTTAGGAGAACAGGTATCTGATCTCAGCCTTGTGGTTAACTACTTGTATAACTCTGATCAATCATGTCATCTCTCCAGCCCTCAGAACACCCCCAGTTAGAATGACAAAGGAACCACGGTCATTCTAGAGAAAGGGGTCTGGGTCAGGTTAGGCAAAATCACTTCCTCACTGTCACCTAGGTACACTATGAGCTCACTAGCCCCAAAACATGCATATAATTACTTCGATGTTCCATGTTATTTGTGCCCTAGGCCTTTCCCTTCTGGGTGGGAAGACATATTAAAATCATGAGTTCCAGGCAAAAAGCAAATATAAACTTCCCTATGGCTGTGTGGCCCTTGGTGGCTGGATTGGGGAACTAATCAAGAGGGATGCTTTTGTACAGGTTACTTTGGGGCAACCAGACTTTAAACCAAACTTTGCAACACTAAATAAATAGAAGACCCCAAGAAATTTCAAGGAAAACTCTGCAGAGGAAAATGGATATGGCCCAAAGTTCTCAATCTGCTTCAATTTCTAACTTTTTTTATAAGTCTCAAGACAAAGAAAGTGATGCATAGCAACTGTCAAAAAAAAAAAAAAACACACACCCTCCATTTTCTTCTCCATTTCTTCCTTCTGAGCATAGGCGGCGGTTCAAATTACTAATTTTAGAGTAGGCTGATGAGGAAAATAACGTAAGTTAACTCAATTAACTAGATGTTATAACATAGTGCAAATGTGACCATGGACACAGTGGAGAAAGAGTGATCACCATGGAGATGCTAGCATCCTCAGGTTCCAGAAATTTGTTGTAAAATTGTTATAAGCATGTACAATGCATAAAAAGATTTAAGGAGAGATTAAGTCAGTGGACATAAGGGCTAAGTGTACTGATGTGTAGTTAGAACAATGACATGTATGTTGTCAAAACCATGTATGTTCAAGCAATGATATGGCCTCTATACCCTAGCA